CTTAAGCAGAAACAGGCTCTATGAAGGCCCTGGGAATCTCACAGGCCAACGGAGCCATCAACACCCCAGAGGTCAGAATAGCCTGGGGCAGCCCACAGCAGGAGCGCCCTTCAGGGTTGCTCCCTTCCCATCACTTTTAATTGTTTTTGGTCACTCTGCCGAAGATTCAAATTCCTGGGAAAGAAAAAGCAATTGCCCATCTCTTGGTTAGGGAAGAACAGGGCACATGCCCAATAGTCTTGCCAGATCACCTCCAATGTGGGAGAGAAGTTTCTTAAAAATGAAAATGGGGGTGCTGACATCAGAGGAAGGGAGGATTAGTGCCAAGGGACAAAACTACAGTACTTATAAAAATATATTTTAAAAAAATAAAGTATAGCATAGGGAATATAGTCAATAATAATGTAATAACTGTGGTGCCAAAAGGGTACTGACTAGATTTATCAGGATGATCCCATTGTAAACTAAATAATGTCTAATCACTCGGGTGTACACCTGAAATTAATATAATATTGTATGGCAACCGTCATTGAAAATTTAAAATGATTTAAACTAAAAAATACATAAGAAATTTTAAGTCAATATAATTAAAAAACAAAAAAACAAAAAAAAACTACAGCACTTGCTACCCTGCAGGGTGGGATCCTGCATGTGACTCATTTACAAGCTGGAATACAACTGCAAAAACCCATGACACCTTCCCCCATTTCCTCCCTGTGTCACTGAACCTCCCAGCGATGATGATGTGTTAGTCCATTCACTGACCCTCCCTTTTAGAGGAACCCTCTTGCTGCCTCCCAACCCCATCTCCCAGTGTTCACAGCACAGCCTGCTCCCCAGATGACACGAGGCCCATCGGCTCTGAGAAGAGGGAACGTTAGTCTGACTTTGGCCTTCACACCTGGACCTGTGCTGCATCAGAGGGAGCCCCTGGGAGCAACGTATGAAAAGCTGGAGGATAGTTTGTTATTTTCCCATAAGGCTCTAAGAGGGAGGGGCCTGCTCCTGTGAGCTGGGACAGTGGCCCTCGTCCAGCGCTGGTGCTTAACGCTCACCTCTGTCCAGGGCCTGACAGAGGAGCGAGGCTTGGAGGGCAGTTGGGCTCAGGCCTCACGCTGAGGAAAATCCTCAAAGTGATATGTTTGAGGTTATCTCAAAAGGAGATTTTTCAAAAAGCTCCAGAGATACAGTGCAAATATTAAAAGAAAAAGGTATATCAGGCAGGATTCTTAGTTACAACCAAGTGAAATCCATTCTGGGCAGTTTTTTTTAATCTTCTTATGTCAGGGTTACAAGTATATGAGTATTCTCAAAATGTGAAAGTGATCCTGACCTCTCTGAAGTTCATTCAATATCAAACTGTGTGATCCTTGGGCAGGCTCAGCTGTGTGCTTATTAGCGCTGATAATCTTAGTGTTTCCAAGTATTGCTAGATACTGATGAACAAGTGTTTCCTGTAATTTGATAAGATGCAAATAAGAACGATAATGATAACAATTTTACCTTATTTACTAGAGGCCCGGTGCACAAAATTTATGCACTCGGAGGGGAGTCCCTCAGCTCGGCCTGCGCCCTCTCACAGTCTAGGAGCCCTCAGGGGATGTCTGACTGATGGCTTAGGCCTGCTCCCCTATGCTACCCGCTCATCCTTAGCGCTGCCGTGGAAGCGGGAGAGGCTCCCACCACCGCCACTGTGCTCGTCAGCCATGAGCCTGGCTTCTGGGACTGTACTGACCACCAGGGGGCAGCTCCTGCATTGAGCATCTGCCCCCGGTGGTCACTGTGCTTCATAGCACCTGTCGTTCTGCCGTTTGGTCAATTTGCATATTAGCCTTTTATTATATAGGATTACTAATGAACTTGTGCAGCTCGCCAGAAATGTTAAGTACACAGCAGAACGTTGGGATTGGATACTTGCATCCCATTTAATTCAGGGCTCTATTTCCAAAATGCAGTTATGAGCCTGAGGACAGTAGAGGCAAGAAATAAAACTGACAGGAGGAAAATAGTGTGATTCTTCTTTTGTTCATTTCATAAATATTTATTAAGCACCTATTGTGTGCTGGGGATAAAATAACTTGGCCTCTTTTACATTTATCCCAAAATGTAAAACAAGCATTCAGTGTGTGGTTCATTCATTATTAATTTTTTTAAAGACTATAATATATTGAAGTTAAATTGGTTTCTTTGTAATTTCTCTCCATTTGCTTTAGTTTTACTATATATACAGCATAGGGAGCAAATACAATCCTTCTCAAAAATTAAGGTTCAAATTTTTGGAGGTAATCATTTTTTTTCCAGCTTAGATTTATCTTTTGGAGGCCAGTACCTAAGCTATTGCAAGGATTCTGCCAGGGGAGATACACTCCCCTTTGTTACACTGCAACGTGTAACCCAGTGTACAGCAACTAGAAGAGGGACTTAGCAAGAGATCGTTGCAGAAGATTCACCTCATGATGACCCACAGAGCAAAGGTGCTCACTTTTGCTCTGGATCTTCAGGGTCAGCTTCTTCAATCAAAGGATTTTTCCTTTTCTTTTTCCTCTTCCAACTTTACCAAGATATAATTGACACAAGACCAGGATTCTTGAGCAGAGTCATAGGAAAGGAAGGGGGGCAGACCTGACAATGAGTATTGCAGCTCTGGCCAGGAGGAAAAAGCTGGGGAGCGATGACACCCTGTCAGACACCTATGAATGTGAAATTAGACACCCTTTCTTTTTTTCCTGCTGGCAATAATGCCTGGAATTTACATGTTATGTTAATTTGACCTCATTTACGTAATGCCTTATTATAAAGAATCGCTTAGATGTTGCCTAATTATCTTCTTTCTCTTGCTTACTGGGAGGCTGTGAGTGCCAAAGTAATGAGTGACCTTTATTTGGCTGAGGCAGAGAAATCTGATATGACATTTTATTGTCACAGACCTTTGCCGTTGTGTTTTTTTGCATGTTTATTTTTTTTTCTAGCCCACAAAAACAATTTAGATTGTACAGTTCCTTTTGTATTTGTCCATGTGTATATGTATTTTCCTTGTAGATATAGTGTGCCTACTTTCCATCACTTTTTCATTTGATGTTACACAATTGTTGCTTTCTTCGCTTCTCTCGCATATTCTTAATTCTAGCTGTTCATAGATGCCCAGTATTCCACTGAATAATCATTGATAATTGTCATGCTTCGGCTTTTCAGTACTTTACGCAGTATCATGAGGACAATTTCTGTGTGTAGAGCTTATTTCTCCTGTTAGGTTGTTTTCTTACGAGTGCCCGTAACTCAGCTTCCCATTAGGAAAAACAGGGTTTTATGATTTAGGGTTTTCACCTCTCATTCTTGCACATCAATAACTACTTTAGCATGAATTTTTATGCATCCTACTTTCTCTGTATGGCAGCCTTACGACTGTATCCGTCCAGACACGTTTATGTAATGTTCTACCACTCAAGCCCCAAGGTTCCTGCCATGACTGTCACTGTGACATGTAGGAAAGCAGCAGCCCAGACTATGGAAATGCTGTCACAGGGAGAGTGTATAACAGTCAGAAAAAGGCACTTGCACCTGAAGGTCTGAAGTTCCTCTATATTATGTCCTAGATTTTCTTTGAGTTTGCATCTCAGCATATACCAACCATATGACTCACTGATTCCAGTCTGGAGTATTTAGAGAAGTGCTCGCACGAAACATAGACGGGAATGTTTATAAGAGCTTTATTCATAACCACTAAAAACTGGACACATCCACATGTCCTTCAGTAGGTGAATGGGTCCTCTGTGGTGTGTGACATAATGGAATATTACGCAGCAATGGAAAAGGAATGGCCTATTAACACACAACAACAACTTGGGTAAATCTGAAAATAGTTATGCTTAATGAAAAAAGTCAGTCTCAAAAAGTTTCCTACTCTAGGATTCCTGTTTTTGCAACATTCTTGAAAAGAGAAAGCTATGGAGATACAGAACAGATTTAAAAATTAATGTTAATTTTAAAAATATAACAAATAGCCCCGTTTTATCAAACTGTGTGGTCATGTGTATTTTGACAAGTTACTTAACCTCTTTAAATCTCAGTGTGTTTACTTGTAAAGTGTAGAAAACACTCTTTATCTTGAAGTGGTGTTATAAAGATGAAATAAGATGTTACAAAGCAGGCACCTGACATACAGGTGCCTCCTTTTTTTCTTCCCCCTGGTGATATTTCTCACCGGGAGCAGATTCATTTTGTTATTATCATCTCTGTGTGTTTTTTAAAATATGCTTTTATTGATTTTTAGAGCGAGAGGAAGGGGGAGGGATAGAGAGATAGAAACATCTATCGATTGGCTGCCTCCTGCACACCCCCTACTGGATATCTAGCCCACAGCCCAGGCATGTGCCCTGACCAGGAATCAAACTGTGACCTCCTGGCTCATAAGTGGACACTCAACCACGTGGCCACACTGGTCAGGCCGTATTTTGTTATTTTTATCATCCTCAAATTTCCAGTTTTGCCTCAGACAAGGGAAAGAAATTCAAGATATAATTTTGCCTTGATAAATATCAAATTCAATTTGATAACTACCAATTATCGAGTACCTTTGTGAAGGAGGGAGCAGTAATGGTATTTGGGAAAAGGTATTGCAGCAGTCTTACAGGCTTCTGGATATTGGGTCACTGTGTTCATCAGACTCATCAGTGTTGGAAATGTTTTATAATTAATACTTTGTTCTTTAAACACATAAATACTAATTTTAAAATTTAAATGTGAGAGCCAGCGCCTTTCCTCCACCTACTCTGTCCTCATCAATCACCATAAAGAATGAGTTATTGGGTTTTTCACTCCGAAAATGTAATTACTTTGCAATGAAATGTTAATGCTATGTTCTATTCTTGAAGTCACTTGTTCCAGTGACAAAGCTATGTCCTAATAGAGTTGCTAAATTTTCTTGTAAGTCATCCTTTTAATATTTTATATTCTCCAGATGAGCTGGTGATGAGCTGGGGCTTCTTTGTTTTTACAAACAGGACTATCTCGGCAAAAACTCACCATCAGGCTGTGAACTTCAACATCTTCGAGGGCATGGTGTGCCACGGGGTGCCCCTCGTGACCATTTCCAGGGGCAAAGTAGTATATGAAGCGGGAGTTTTCCATGTCACAGCAGGAGACGGGAAGTATATTCCTCGCAAACCATTTGCTGAGTACGTTTACCAAAGGATCAAGCAGCGGGACCAGGTGAGTGTGCCTAAGTGCCTGTTACCCGAGGCCGGGCTGTCACCCGCTCCTGGATGTTGTTGGTGTCGTTGTCACATACACTCAATTGAATACATTCCTGGGACATCAGAACTGACAGGAAAGGTTCCAAACAAATACCAATTTTCCAAGAAAGAATCATTATGGGATGGATGCATTTTCCCTTATGGGTTGATGTCTATTCAGGGTTTCCTGATGGACCACGTCAGGTTTTCCCAGGCAAGTTCAGGACCTCTGGGGGCCTTTGGCAATTGGGTTAGACAGGGTATTCCTAGAAGCAGACTCCCCATGAATAAAGGTCTGACTTTTTTTTTTCATTAGGGAAGACACTTGTGAGAGAACCCGGGAGGGAGTCAGGAAAGTCTGGGAGAGCCTCAGACTACAATTCAAGTTTGAATCCAGTGAGAGAATGAAGGAGAGTAAAAGCGGTACAAGCATCCCAGATGCCACACAGACTAAGAAAGACTGAGCAAGGCCTTTAGGCAGCGATTGAACCAAGTCTCCTGTCAATCAGCTGCATGGCATGATGTCATTGGCTGGGAAAAGCTGTGGGAGGCATGGCCTTCCTTCAAACAAGGGAATGGAGTTCAGAGTTTAGCAATGGCCCCTTGAAAAATTATGCTCCCTGTGGTTGAATGTCTGACCACCAGAGCAATGGTGGAGTTTTGGGGTCAGGTAGATCTATACTTTTTAAGGCTTGCTAGTGCATTATTGGTTTTTGCAATAACAAAAGTAATAGTTAATCATTACTACTATATCTTGTTCTGAGCACTTGCTATCTGCCAGGCACTGTGCTAGGTAGTTTATATTCATTATTTTACTTACTCTGTACAACAAACCATAAGTTGATTTTAATATCCCCACTTATATAGAGATCTGAGTCTCAGCAAGGTTAAATATTATTCCCTGGGCAAAGCATTAAATAAACATATGAGCTGGGATTTGTGAGAGGACCTTTCTCATTCCCACTGTCTCATGGATCTCTGTAAAGCCAGAGAAGAAAATTATTGTGAAACTCCAAACATGGGGGAAATTGATTGTTTTTTAAAATGTTGGTGTGGAAATAGTATCAAAAAAAATGGGTGAAATGAGGCTTGGGCATTGTCTGAAGACATTTTTCTCTTCATTAGGCAAAGATAATTTTATATGCAGAAGAAAACTATCACATTAAGATTAAGAAAAAATAGTTGTTAGAAATTCTTGATTTTAAATTCACATGAGGATTTTACAGCTCTTGCTTTGGTTTTCATGTAAAATATTCAGGTTTCCTTGTGAATGAGGATACACGTGTTTGAAGGCAAGCAGAACAGCTCGTATCATTTTTCCTGTTCACCTGTTTTCTTCTGAAGAATATTAATCACTTACCATTCCGGTCTACCAAAGCACAGACTCTAGGCAGTGGTTCTCAACTTTCTGGTCCTTTAAATACAGTTCCTCCTATTGTGACCCAACCGTAAAATTATTTTCGTTGCTACTTCATAACTGTAATGTTGCTACTGTTATGAATTGTAATGTAAATATCTGATATGCAGGATGGGCTTAGGCCACCCCTGTGATAGGGTTGTTCAACCGCCAAAGGAGTCGCGACCCACAGGTTGAGAACCGCTGCTCTAATGTTTCCCAGGTCCAGAACTTGGCTGGTCTCCTGGCTAGAGTGTTAGTTCCTTGAGGGCAGCATCTTACTAGGTGTACCGGTTAATAATGTGGATTTTTTTCAGTAGATGGCACTACACATATGTTGATTTATATGCCATTTGATATGTATGCTATTTTGTTGTATTGACAACAAGCTTCAAAACTTCATATGTCAAATTTTCTGAAGGTGTTAACATCATAGATATTTTCATGCTTAAAAATTTTGAATTTCGTGCCAAAAAAAAAGAGCATTTGCCCGAAGTTTTAATTCATTATTTTATTTGGAAGAAAAGTGCTGCTGAAAGTTATCGTCTGCTTCAGGAAGCTTATGGTGAACATGCTCCATCTCAAGATACTTGTGAACACTGGTTTAAATGCTTTAAAAGTGATGATTTCGATGTGAAAGACAAA